CCCAAACCACTCCATGGGCATCAGAGGCTACTAGATTAAAGAGTTTTAGCAGATTCTCAGGGCAAGAGACTAAATATTTGTCTGCCCAAAGTACCAAGGGCTTTAGATGCCCTGCCATGGTAGTTGAGAGACTTTCTATGTGTGTTTTGGGAAAAAAAGCCCTGCTAGATGGTTCAAAATAATCAGGGCCTAAGGAATGTACACACACATGCATGCACACACTATGCCAGTTGAGAACCTCTGCCCTAGGAAATTCATGAATAATTGATTTGTTGGAAATGGTTGGAGAGAGGGCACATACCTTTCACCAAATTCTCTGAATCTGTGACTCCTTCAAAACGTCAGAAGTCCTGGTTTGTAAAATTCTTTCCAGTTCTAATATTCTGGCACTAGTTGAGGCTGGGACATTTATTCTGACTGCTTAGAAGACAAAAAGTCTTAGAAGAGCTGAAGGACAGAAGTGAAACTGGGTTCTTATATCAGAAGGAACTTTTGAAAATGTACACATATCCCTTTACTGTGTATCATTTGTCTTGCTTTGACAGTGCTTCCTCTAATATCGAACCATCAGAGACTTAATAACTATGTCAATGTAAAAATAACACTACTTTTCAAGGATATGCCCAGAAATGTCTGCTCCCAGTTATACTTGTGATGAGAAGAAGAGTTACTAATCTTGAGGTCAAATTAAGAAATGGGAGGAAACAAGCTATCATATTTTCAAGACCTACCATGCATTTGGCATGCCTCAAGACCCTCATCTGGTAAATTTCAGACTCAGGTCTCAACTCCCCCTCTAAATAATTTTAGAGTCTAACCTCCAGGCAAACAGCTTCTCCTTAACAATCATGGATGTTTTGTTTTCTTACCTATACTCTGGTTTTCTCTCAAACTTCTATCTTGATTAAGACATCAGTTAAACATGTATCAGTCTTACTTAAAAAAAAATAGTATACATTTTATGTTGAAGCACTGATTCTGAAACAAAAGTATTATGTGAAACTAAATTTTGGATTATGAAACAGATTAAGAATTTATTATTCAAATGCTGCCATCTGGTGGCCAAAGATTGTAACCAAAAAAAACAGACCTCTCCTTGAAAAGATACAGAAAACCCCAGGAGCCCTAATTACCTGGTTTGCTAGCAAAGACGGGATGAGCACTGGGTGTTATTCTGTATGTTGGTAAATTGAACACCAATAAAAAATTAATTTATTTTAAAAAAAATCTGGAATGTTAGGGCAGCCCAGGCGGTTCAGTGGTTTAGCGCCACCTTTGGCCCAGGGCATGATCCTGGAGACCCGGGATCAAGAAGTTCCACATCGGGCCCCCTCATGGAGCCTGCCTGTGTCTCTGCCTCTCTCTCTCTCTCTCTCTCTCTCTCTCTCTCTCTCTCTCTCTCTGTTTCTCATGAACAAATAAAATCTTTAAAAAAAAATCTGGAATGTTATGTAGGAAAATATTATCTGGAATATTATAGGAGAAAATATTAACATATATTTATGTTCCACTAATTCTAATCCATGCGATACTTTGTCCATAAACAGTGGCAATTAGATGATTAATATGTTTCTACAAGCCAAAGATGCAGTCTCACCAGACATACTTGACAGTTAAATTCAGCTGCGACAGAAAGAGTTCTGTTTTCTTTATGCTTTCAAAATAGGACATGAGGTTTCATTTCACTCAACAAAATTTTATTGGGATCCTATTATGTTCTAGGTAGACATGAATACTTGATAGAGAACCAAAAGCAGCATCTTTTCTAGAGAACTTCATAGTCTGGTGAAAAAAATGGGTCCCCAGCCTATAATGTTGGGTGGGGCATCTGTGCAGTTACCTGGGCCTCAGCCTCAAACGGGAGTATGGGCTAAAGCTCCTGCCTGCAGTGTGCTGCTTCTCAGGCAGAAAATTCAGAAGTGTACCTATTGGGACTTCTCTAAAACCTTGGGTCTCTTCCCTAATGCCTAACCAGCCAGAGGTGGTTTCCTATCCTCACTCTATTATGAACATTTTCTCTTTTCTGGGTTCTTGAAAGCAAAACTAAGTTTCTGTTCTCTAGTCACTGGGCAATTCTCTCAGTATTTAGTAACCTAGAGAATATTTGTGATAATGGAATTGCTGTCCATAGTAGATAAGAATCCAGCTGCTCAACTGGCTTTTCAGGATCCCTCAAAGTCCTCTTTCTTCCTTGGCCCTGGCCTCCTTTCTCCAGAATGCAGCCAAAGAAAGAGAAGCAAAGGCTGATAATCTACTGGTAAACCACGACATGGAGGTGCCCTAGGACCCTGACAATTCCAACTAGCATTTTAAGAGTACATCCTATAGTTTCTGGGGAAATTTCTGCAAAAGGTCCTTAGCCAGTAACTAATCAGTTTGAAAATATGATACAGGGTAGTCCAGGTGGCTCAGCAGTTTAGCACTGCCTTTAGCCCAGGGCGTGAACCTGGAGACCTGGGATCAAGTCCCACGTCAGGCTCTCTGCATGAAGCCTGCTTCTCCCTCTGCCTGTGTTTCTGCCTCTCACTCTCTGTGTCTCTCATGAATAAATAAGATCTTTAAAAATATATATATATTACAGTTTTTCTTACAATCAAGGCAAACAACACAGGTCAGTAGTGAGTGCAATGGATTGCGTCAACTTTTCAAATTATAGCTTCCGTAAGTCCAGGATTGTTTGCCTCCTTTTCAGTCTTAGATCCCATGGCAACAGTGTAGAGCCAAAAAAGCTCCCAGCATATGGGAATGATGTGTGCAGTCCACATGAGTGGTAAGTATCTATTATTTTGCAAACTGCTCCTCCCTTTTCCATGAAATTCTAGTGTGGCCCTCCACCTCTCACCTCAACACGGTCCTGTTACTTGAGATGGCCAGAATAAGCCATCCACCTAAGAGACACAGTGATTAGTCTAGAGATCAATATGTGGCCTAAGCAAAGAAGTCAGGGTACCTTCTGTGCTTTGGCAGAAATGTGGAGGGATAAGGGGTAGAGAGGATTGAGCTCTCACTCTGAGGTACAAAGCTGTTTTTTGCTGCTGCCTGGAAATATTCAACACAGGGAAGCAGAACTAAGAGATGAAAAGGGAGCCTAATGGTATCATTTAAACCCCTTTGCCCGCCCCCTGACCCCCGTGGGTCCAGAATCAGCATAAAATGAAGGAATGAAGACTTCTTTTAAAATTTACTTTACAGGGCAGCCTGGGTGGCTCAGCGCTTTAGCACTGCCTTCGGCCCAGGGCGTGACCCTGGAGACCGGGGATTGAGTCCCACGTTGGGCTCCCTGCATAGAACCTGCTTCTCCCTCTGCCTGTGCCTCCGCCTGTCTCTCTCTGTGTCTCTCATAAATAAATAAATAAAATATTTAAAGAAAAATAAACTTACTTTACAGGTTAATGCACAAGTGCAAAGAATTTCTTGCACTTTAGAAAGTTCATCTGCCAATTTCAGTCTTAGGAATTTAAAAAAAAAAAAAAAAGACTGAGGACAGAGCAGTGGGAGCTGACCAGCTGAAGACTGAGGACTCCAATCTTACAAGGAGGGATTTTAAATATAATCTAATCCAAGGTGCTGGTTTTTAATATGTGAAACCAAGGCTGAGAGGGGAAAAGAGCTTGTTTGAGCCACTATTCACCAAGGCTTTATAGATCAGATGGGGTTAGAGTTTGGCAGTGGAGAACTAGGGTTGAGTGCTGGACTGTCCCAGTGCCTAGCCCTTTTGTGTTCATGCTTGTTTAATCCTCAGTCAATCTGGGAGTTACATATTTTAGTTCCACCTGACAGATGAAATTGAAGCCAGAGGCCTAAATGACTATCCTAGTGCCACACAGCTAACATGGAACAGAGTTGAGCCCCAAACATAAACCTAAGGTGACATTTTTTTCTACTCTACATTTACACACACAAAAAAAATATCCTGAGGCAGGACAGAAGCAAGTAGGACTTAGGAGACCAGCTGATCCTTATTCTCAAATAAAATGTCATTATCTATGGTGCCTGGCTGGCTTACTGGGTAGAGCATGGAACTCTTGATCTTGGGTCATGAGTCTGAGCCCAATGTTGGAGGCAAAGTTTACACAAACTAAAAAAAAAAAAAAAAAAAAAGTACCTAAGAGGATCTGGGAAGAGTCAAGGAGAGGATTGCAATAAAGGCCAAGATCTGGTTTTAATTGCTAAACGAGCCCCTTAAATCTCCCAAGTCCCAGTTGCCTTCTAAAAACTGAGGAAGTTGAAATAGATGATCTCAAAATAAATTTGTAAAAATAGAGCAGGCAAAAGGAGTTGAGTAGTGAGTGGCCCAGAATCCTAGAGGTCTAAACTCCCAAACTCCTTTCCCATGGCTCCACAGCCTGGCCATTCCTTTCCCTAAGGTATGGATAGAGAGCAGCTGCTGACAAGGGAATACTCAGGCACTTGAGTGTGCCTCTGATTTGATGAGTCATTCAACAATGGTCTAAGTAATGCTAATAATACATCGGAACACTAATCATTAGTAGACTCTAAAACCCAAAACCCATTCCTTGATGGTAAAGTTTGTTTGCTTAGATAGATAGATAGATAGATAGATAGATAGATAGATAGATAGATAGAACGAATCACTCCAGTTCAGAGAGGTCTAATGGAATTTGAAAGCTCTTTTTCCAGCTCCAACTTAAGATCTGTTATAAACTAAGTTCTACTCTTCATGCTCTCATATAAAGCATTCACTTCCTCAGTTTCAGGTTCCAGTTCATCACTGTCATCATATCTATCTTTTCTTTAAGCAGTAAAAGAACTCAATTATAAATCTGGCTTCTGGGTTAAAGTAACCACTCATATTTGACCATTTTATTTTAATAAAACTGCTGCCTTGCCTGGCTATGATGGGCTAAGGCAGAAGGTAGTCCCTAATGGAGGAAATACAACTTGGGAGTCACAAATGTGAGTTATATGCATTTGTTCTATTTCTTCACATCAGTGTACCTTGAGAAGACTCTACTCAATTATAACACAATAATAAATCTGGGATAAATAGGCAAAGAATCATTTTTTTTCTAGTAATAATGTAACAATAGCACGCTTGGGAGAGGGAGTGGCATGGGTCTGTATATGTCAATATTTCATACCCTTTTTCTGGCCCGTTGAAGTCATTATTCACATTTGCTCTTCTAAAAATTCTATTATTCAAGATCACAGAATAGCCTGGCTGAACAAAAAATGTAGAGATGGTCACCTTACTCTTCCAAACTTCTCTTCATTATATCTCACATATTACACTAATATAGTTTCTCTTTGGTTGCAGTTTTTCAGATATTCTTTTTTTTTTTTAGATATTCTCATTTTTGGTTTAGTATCAATATGCTAAACTATATAGCATCGTTGTTTAGGTGGAAAATGAAATTGAATGTTTTTTACAATACCTATTTTAAAAGTTCACTGGGCACCATACCTGAAGTTTAGCTAAATGTTCTGCAATTCTCAAGTACATTGGCTGAGGCCTCTAAGAAATATCTGCCTTAGTCAGAGATTACTTATGGAGTCCAGCACAGTTTGTACTATTAACATATTGTATCCAAGAGATACTGCCACTCCCACTATCCTGGGAAACATTCACAATATAGCTGATCTATTTATGCAGATGACTGGTTTTAGTAGTGTAGCTTCACTGCCTTTTAGATAGTTCATGGTCTGTCAGCCAGGGTTCCTGAATCCCTCAGATCTGCTGAGGATTTCTCTATCTCCCAAGATTCCTGTCTCATTGTGGTGGCTTAACTGAACTCAGAAGCCAGAAGCCCCCAGGATGTGCATTGCCAAAAGAGTTGAGGGAGGAGCACTGAGATCAAAGGAGAGCATCTCAGGGACATCCTAGAGATGAGGTCTCTCCCCTAGTACTCCATAGTGATCCCAGACACCTCCCAAAATCCCAGACACATGGTGACAACCTTTTTCTCCACAGCAGAGGTTCTTAAGTTGGTGTCCACAGACCCCTGGGGAGCCTATGGAAGCACTTCAAGGGTACATAAAATTTGTATATATACATTATTCTAGGGAGTAAACTTCATGGCTTTCATCATATTATTTTTAATCTAGTCTATGGAAGAATCTTCAGAGTTCTGTGGAAATCTCCAAGTTATAGTTACTGGGATTACTGGGATAGAGAGAGAGGCAATTAGGGCAATTCTGACAGAGATCAGCCCTGAATTTCTGATATCCAGCCATATCTAGTCTATGTGATTGACAACCGGATGCCAGGCTCCAGGAAACCCTGAACCTGCCAGGACTCTTAGTGACCATCTCAACTATAGTCTGGTCCATGAAAGGACCATTTGTACCTGGTTATTTCAGACACAGACCCAGAAGAGGAAAAAAAAAAAAATACATATGCTCTGGAACTAGGTGAATTCGTTGCAGATCCCAAGCCACACCTCTGGGACTGCCCTCTGAGCAGGAGGAGGGGATGTGAGCCATTGAAGAGGGACAGTCATCAGCTCTAGGCCTTGCCCCTAAAAGCACAGGATCCGAGGGTCTCCCTCCAATCCCTGTAGAAACAAAGAGCCACTCCCTATAAGCAGGCATTCTCCCTTACCTAATGCCCAACGTCTCCCTGTATTATGAAATAAAACTGACCCTGCAAAGGGGAGAAGGCCTGCAACTAGCCCAGAAAACCAACCAGAAGATGGTGTGTATCTTCATAGGACACAGTGTAATACGAGAGTTTCAGAAATGCAAGATGCTTTGAAAAGCCCAGAGTTCATTTAATATTGCGGTTCTCAAATTTTAGTATGTGTAACAGTATCCTGTTTTTTTTTTATAGGAGAGAGACAAGAGAGAGAGAGCGTGCCTGCAGGCGCTTGAACCAGGAGAGGAGGAGAGGGAAGGAGAGAATCCCAAGCAGGCTCCGTGCTCAGCCCAGAGCCCAACTCAGGGCTCAATCTCACAATCTTGAGATCATAATCCAAGCCAAAATCAAGAGTCGGGCACTTAACTAACTGAGCCACCCAAGCCTCCCCTGAATGTTTGCTTTATAATACAGATTCATAGGCCCCAGTAGTCTAGGGTAGAGACCAGGTGTTTACATGTTGTAAAAGGAACTAGCAATTTTGGTATCAGGCATCCATGGATTATACCTTTAGAAAGTATTCTAAGGTTTCTAGGGCCTTTAAGGCACCAGATGTGGAAAAGGGACTTTAAAGGAACTGATTGTCCTCAGAGAAATCACTGAAATGCCATGGAGAACATTTGGTAAGCCCAGGCCAAAAGCTCCTAGGGGGTCTATGGCTCCTCCTGGTTAGTAATACATTTATATTCTTCAACTAACAGGGAAACTGAGACTGATGCACCAGAACCAAGACCAACTTTGAAGCCCTGCAACCTTTACAGATTATTCTTATCTCTTTTTAATTTTTTTATTCTTATCCTTTAAAGGATCGTAACAATGGTACCTACCCCATAGAATTACACACAGTGAGAAATAAATGAGATTTGAACAAAGCATTTAGCAAAATGCCCAGACACACAGGAGTTGAGCATGTTACCTGCTGTAATCATTAATTACTGCTAATTATGACTATATCTATGCTCATCAAGAAACCACTGAAGCATCTTGTTTGTAAAAGACTGAGGTCAAATGTGGTCTCTATGGATTGAGGTTTTCTCCAGAGAGAAATTATTATTTTTTGGTCAAAGATTCCATTTATTTATTTGAGAGAGACAGCATGAGCAGGAAGGGGGCAGAGTGAGAGGGGAAAAATAGACCCCCTGCTGTACAGAGAGTCCAACAAGGGGACCCTGAAATTAAGACCTGAGCTGAAGGCAGCTGCTTAACCAGCAGCCACCCAGATAGCCCAAAAAAAAAAAAGTTATTAAGAGTATTCTTTTTTTTTTTAACTCAAGAGCAAAAAGAGTCATATTCTCAAATAGGTCACCAACATAATCAAAAACATTTTAGATTTCTCTTTACCTTCAGTTCTGACATTATCTAAAAATCGACTTGCTCTAACAATGCCATCCAAATTTGTTCTGTGTACAAAATGAAGCTATGAGGTTCTGTGCAACTTTTCAGTCAACAGTGACCTCTGCATGCATCAGAACAAAATCTGTAACCATCACCTGAACTCACAAGTTTTCAATTACCTAAGAGAGCTGCTCAAACAAATAAGCTTTGTTTTTAGACAAAAAATCCCAGCAGCAGCAAGAAGACTTGACAGCTGAACCATAATGAACTTCTGGCTGTGTATTTCCTTACCAGCCAGGAACCCTTATATTAAAAGAAAACCCCATCTCTCTACCCCCTCACATAGCCTGTTTCCTCAAAGTGAGTAAGAACTAGTGAGACACATTTCCTAAGACGGAAGCAGGGGCTGTTTTGGATAGAAAAGAATGAAAGGGACAAAACAACTAAGTTTCTCCACGAAGAAAGGAAAGAGAAAGAATATTACAGAACAGATTAACATCAGGGAACAAGATCAATTAGTGCCTTCAGAATAAATACAAGACGTCTCCAGTTGCTCTGATGAAGGGTACCACATGCCTCTGCAGAGGAAGGATTAAATGTATGGAACAGAAATATATAGCCCACCCTCTGCTTCCATAGCTTGCATTAGGTCAGTCTGAACACAGCTTTGCTCTCCATTAGTCAGACCTGACATGAATCCTAGAGACTGGGGTAGACCTGTCCCAGCCACCATCACCAGAGAACACATTCATGACAAACCCAAATTCCCCATTCCTGAACTACTTCAAGTCACCCCATATTGTAGCCACTCAGGAACAGAAACTTTCTTTAAAAAAAAAAAAAGGGCTGCATGTTTTAATTCAAGAAATAAAAGTTCACAAGCAATCCAGAACAGGTTCCAGGAATTCCTTCTAAACAGCCACACCCGCTGCAAAAGTTCAGGCTCCAAAGAATCACTTTGGCCAGTGCCTCTTGAGATGCTCTTTCAGCTGAGGAATGGAAGGCAGCAGCTGCTGGCACTCGTGACAACGGAGAGGCAGCTTCAAGAGCTCAGGCATCCCATCTCGGACACTCACTCTGCCAGCGTGCTGTACCATCTCTATCACAGCTACAAGCAAAGAAAAAGTTTAGAGCCCAGCTGCTCTGGAAAACCAATATAAGATACCCACCCCCTCAGAAAAGCAAATAGGACTCCAAATAAAAATATGCCAGGTATCCTAAAGCTAGTAAATTTGAGGTTAAACTCACTGTGGGGAAAATGGGCTTGATCAGATTATAAATCTGAGCAACCTGATTTTTAGATGATTACATTCCTTTGGGACACACTGTAAGCAATCCATGTTATTATGTCAAAGGCTTATTACCACAGTGCTTTCTCACTGGCTAGCCCAAGTTGGTCAGTGGTAGCTGCCATAATTAATGCCCCAGCAATACTGAGGCTCCACAGTATGCACACTGAGAAATGCTTCCTTCTACATACACCCAGCCCTCCCCTATGAATTAACCACTATTGACATGAGGCAGCCCCCAAAGCTCCTACTCAGCTGATGGCAAAAGAGACAACTGTTGAGCACTTTCACATCCATCAACTCCAATAATTCTCAGAACAGGCTTTTAAGTTCCCCTGTTGTTACGGTAGAACGTGTTTCTGACTCTGACATAACAGCTTTCTATGTGCCCCCAAGAAGTAGCAATCCTACTTAATCCAAAGAATCCAGTTTCTTCTAATGGGTCTCTACTTACAGGGACACAAAGTTGTACATGGCTACTTATAGGGACACAAAGTTGTACATGGGCTTTTGAGGCCAGGCTATTAGCTAGGGAAACAACTAAATCAAGCATTAAGAAGAGCTGAGGAAAAAAAATAAATAAATAAATAAATAAATAAAAAGAAGAGCTGAGAAAATGAAATAAATGTGAAAACTAAAGAACACTGTTTACCTTGTGATTCTAGGAAGTATTCTGTATTGAAAGAATTCCAATGTTTTTTGTTTTTAAGGCAAGGAGAATCAAAATCCTGGCTGATCACATGAAGGTGTACATGGCTAGTTGAGAGAGAAAAAAATTGACCATTAAATCCATTAAAAACTATGGCTTAATCAAAATGACAAAGAGTAAAAGTATGGGTATAGAAAATATTGCTAGTGTTTCCATTTAATCCAATTCATTCAACCATTCACCTAAGATTTAACGCTCATTAAGTACCCACTAGAGCTATGCATTATTCTAGCATTGGGAATTTAGCAGTGAACAAAATGAGAAAGGCCACTCTCCCTTCTAGAAATTATATTCTAATAAGGAAAGCCAAATTTTAAGAAATGAAGAAAATTCAAATCATTAACACTGCTAAGAAAAATAAAGAAATAAATAAACAAATCAGGGAAATGGGACACAGAGTGCACAGGGGGTAAAAATTACCACGTTAACTAGAATATTCAAGGAAGGCCACTCCCAGACAGTGATTTGAGATGAGAAAGCAGTCAGGCAAGCAAAAATTTGGAGAAAGAATGTTTTGGGGAGTGGGGAGGCCAAGTGCAAAGACACTAGGATGAGAAAGAACTTGGTGCAACTGAGGAACAGAAAGGTGATACATATGGCTGGAATGGTTGGAGCCGAGGAGCAGAGACTAGGTAGGAGCCAGACCATAAAGAGTCTTACAGGTTGACAAGCGGTCTGCACTGTATTCTGCTTACAATGTCTCTGATTTGCATTTTTAAAAGATCACTCTGCCTGCCCCTCAGAGAAAGGACTATAAAAAGGGTAACAATGGATACAGAGATGAGTTAGGAAGCTACTACAGAATAATCATGCCTTTGATTAGAGCTGTAGTGTTTGGAATATATTTTGCAATAGAACCAATAGGACCTCCTAATGGGTTGGATGTGGTTTGGAGGTGCCACTTACAGAGATGGGGAAGCAAGTTTGGGGCAGAAAACCAAGAGTTCTCTTTTTGGACTTGCTAAACCCATTGTGCCTTTTTGTGTGAATCTCTTAGAATCATTAATATTTCCTATTCCACCAATAAATCATCAAAACCAACCAATATATGCAGGAATCCAAAATGGAATATGGGCAGTACCAAATAAACCTAACAGTATTACAAACAAATATGGAACCACACTGAAATGGGTCAGGAATAAAATAATTGGTGAAATGAACTTTGGAAAATAGTAGTTTGGACACTGTAAAGATGAAAAGAACTGTATATAAATACTATGAGTAAATGTCTTTCTCACAGGGTTAAGAATTAGCAATTCTGCAACTATTTTATGCATATACTAAGATCAAACAGATAAGTGAATTTATTAAAGCTAATAAGAGCCAGAGTTTTCACTGTTGGAGAAAGAAATTATAATAACGGAAAGGGAGAGACAAGAATGAACCTTGCACAGTTGAACTGGAGCCAGAGATATCACTATAAACTTGTGTTTTTCTATACACAGTAGGTATAGAAAGAAATAGGGAAGTATGTGTATCTGTGTGGGTTAGGATTCATGTATGTATTTCCTGGCTCTATCTGCCAAAAGGACCTAGGAGCAAAGACACCCTGGAATCAACCACTTCTCTCAATATAGAAACCTAGCATTCAAGTCTTGATTTATAAATATCATTCTCCAATAAAAGGAACTAAATAAAATTAAAAGTTCATTCCAGGGCTAGAAAAGGAAAAATATAGGATGAGCCGGGTACATTTGGTTCCAGAAAAAAGTGCTCAAAAAATGTTGGGGCAATGTCAAATAATATAGGACCCAGCCTAAAGGAGCTTCCAAGGACTAAAACTAGAACAATTTGGGGATCCCTGGGTGGCGCAGCGGTTTGGCGCCTGCCTTTGGCCCAGGGCGCGATCCTGGAGACCCGGGATCGAATCCCACATCGGGCTCCCGGTGCATGGAGCCTGCTTCTCCCTCTGCCTATGTCTCTGCGCCTCTCTCTCTCTCTCTGTGACTATCATAAATAAATAAAAATAAAAAATAAATAAATAAATAAATAAAACTAGAACAATTTGAGCAACAAAACAAATAGTGATAGACTAAATTAAAACCTATAGAATAAAATAAATATCTATGAGTCCACACTGATAAATAACTGATTAACTACATATTGGGGGAGAAGGGCAACTCTTCCATACAGAAGAATTCTAATTAATAAATTAAAGAGGATGAGGGAAACACAAAATCACCATTAGGTAAACATCATAGTAATAACTGTTGCAGGCAAGACCTTCCAATAAATGCTAAAATCATTGGGCAAAAGTTTGGGGAGAAACAGGATACTAACATAGTCCTTAACTATTCAAAACATTCATCAATTACAAAGGGAAAAATAGTAACTCTGAGTACAGAAACCTAGCAAACATCACCCTAACAAAGCGATCAAGGTTAGTATGAGTAATAAGCCATCTTGACATCATGTACTCCTTAATATGATATACTGAGAAGGATGCAACATTACTTCTGTAGTATTCTGGGGGCAAAAAAAAAAAAAGGCATAAACTCTATCTTGAAAAAAAATTTTTTTTTCTTGCAATGTACTTCCAAGTTTACTTATGGTACAAAAGTATTTAATAAGCGCCACACATTAGTACAGAAAAACACAGTCTAGGGATCCCTGGGTGGCACAGCGGTTTAGCACCTGCCTTTGGCCCAGGGCGCGATCCTGGAGACCCAGGATCGAATCCCACGTCGGGCTCCCGGTGCATGGAGCCTGCTTCTCCCTCTGCCTATGTCTCTCTCTCTCTCTCTCTCTCTCTGTGTGTGTGTGTGTGACTATCATAAATAAAAAATAAAAAATAAAAAATAAAAATAAAAATTGTGCTTAAAAAAAAGAAAAGAAAAACACAGTCTATAGCTCATACTTTAAAACCACAACAGCCAACTGAAATCAGTAGAGTCTTGTTTTCACTTAGGGAAAAAATATAGAAGGTACACATTGGGAATTGAAAATACACTATGCTTTTCCTTTCTAGAGGTATGATATGTCTTTTCTGGTCTGTAATTTCTCTGAAACATTGTGCTACGTCAAAGCCTACAGATGACCAGTGACCAGACTCCCAAAATAAGAGACATCCTATAAAACCAACCAGTATTTATCAAAAGTGTCAAGGTCATAAAAACTAGGAGAGGAGGAGGAAGTTTCACAAGTTAGGGGAAACTAAGGAGAGACAACAAATAAATCCAATGCAGTATCCTGGATTAGATCCTGGAGCAGAAAACATTTTTTAAAAAAGGCAAAATTTAAGTAAGATCTAGAGTTTAATTAGTGGTGATATTATGGAAAAATCTTTGTTCTGCTTCATACTTCTTTTTTTATATTTTCTCAATGGAAAATATATTAGTTTTACAAGGAAAAAAATGTGTTACCTTTTCCTTTCCATAGTGTTTATTTAAAATTATAGTGATCGGGCAGCCCTGGTGGCACAGCGCGGTTTAGCGCTGCCTGCAGCCCAGGGCGTGATCCTGGAGACCCTGGATCGAGTCCCATGTCAGGCTCTCTGCATGGAGCCTGTTTCTCCCTCTGCCTGTGTCTCTGCCTCTCTCTCTCTCTCTGCATCTCTACGAATAAATAAATAATCTTAAAAAAAAATAAAATTATAATGATCATAGATGGATATGTAGGGATGCCTGGGTGACCCAGCGGTTGAGCGTCTGCCTTCAGCTCAGGGCATGATCCCAGAGTCCCCGGGGTGGAGTCCCACATCGGGCTCCCTGCATGGAGCCTGCTTCTCCCTTTGCCTGTGTCTCTGCCTCTATGTGTGTGTGTCTCTCATGAATAAATAAAATATTTTTAATAAATAAATAAATAATAAAATGATATGTAAGTGGCAACCTACTGCTCATTTTGCTTCCCACCCACTCCTTCCACAGCTCTTTTTAAACATTCTTAGGGGATCCCTGGGTGGTGCAGCAGTTTGGCGCCTGCCTTTGGCCCAGGGCACGATCCTGGAGACCCGGGATCGAATCCCATGTCGGGCTCCCGGTGCATGGAGCCTGCTTCTCCCTCTGCCTATGTCTCTGCCTCTCTCTCTCTCTCTCTCTCTATCATAAGTAAATAAAAAAATAAATAAATAAATTTAAAAATAAATAAATAAATAAACATTCTTAGAACAGTAATTTATTTTATGAAAAAGGTATGGAGGGGATCCCTGGATGGCTCCATGGTTTAGCGCCTGCCTTTGGCCCAGGGCGTGATCCTGGAGTCCCGGGATCGAGTCCCACGTCAGGCTCCCAGCATGGAGCCTGCTTCTCCCTCCTCCTGTGTCTCTGCCTCTCTCTCGCTATGTCTATCATAAATAATAAATAAATAAATCTTAAAAAAAAAAAAAAGGTATGAACATCATGATTACTATGTGAAAAGCACTCCATAGTCAAGGGTTCTGTTAGCCATGGGCTGTGCAGCACTGTAGAAACAGGATTACGATTATGGGTGACTTTTCCCCTAAATTCTTGAATAAAGTTTTAACAATAAAAAATATATACAGTTGGGACGCCTGGGTGGCTCAGTGGTTGGGGGCGCCTGCCTTCGGTCCACAGCGTGAGCCTGGAGTCCTGGGATCAAGTCCCACACTGGGCTCCCTGCATGGAGCCTGCTTCTCCTTCTGCCTGTGTCTCTCATGAATAAATAAATAATATCTTTACTATATATATATATATATATATATATATACACACACACACACACACACACACACATACACACAGTTGATCCTTAAACTGACTCCTACACTATCAAAAACACAAAAGTGTAATTTTTGACTCCCTCAAAACTTTACTAATATCCTACTATTGACAGAAGTCTCACAGATATACAGTCCATCAACACGTTCTTGTATGTTATATTTATTATATACTGAAATCTTATAATAAATTAAAATAGAGAGAAGAAAATGTTAAGAAAATCACAATGAAAAGAAAATACATTTATAGTGTTTTACTATATCAAAAAAATCTGCATATAGGTGGACCTGCACAATCCAAATCTATGTTGTTCAAGGGTCAAATGCATTTTTTTTTAAATGAGGTCCAACATACATCTACCTTATGACCTAGCAACTTCACTTCTAGGTACTTATCGAAGAGCAAAAAAAAAAAAATGATGTGCATGATATACACAATATACACAAATATCAAAATCATAGCACTGACAAAAAAGGTCAGACAGAAGAATACACATTGTATGATTCCACTTATATGAAGTTCTAGAACAGGCAAAACTAACCTAGCAGAAAGAAATCAGAACAACACTTGAGGGCTGAGAGGAGGGTTAATTGAAAAAGAAGCAAAGAGAACTTTCTGGGATATGACAGAAATGTTCTGTATCTTAAACTGAGTGATAATTATATGGCATGTTTGTCAAAACGGACCAAACTATAAATATTATGCTTTTGTTGTATGTAACTTATGTCTCAATTTAAAAGAAAGAGGACTGACGGGGGAAAAAAGGTGGCACAAAAATGTCATTTGGTTCAAATGGCCCGTAATACAAGTCATAATTACCTGAGTAAAATGTGAAGAATGTTGGGTAGTTAAAAAGAAAAATAACCAAAAGAAAATGTGACACATGCTACAACATAGTCGAGCCTTGAAGACATTATCCTAAATGAAATAAGCTAGTCAAAAAAAACCAGATACTCTATGATTCCACTTATATAAAGCACCTAGGTAGTCAAATTTATAGAAACAGAAAGTAGAATGGTAATTACCAAGGAGTATGGGGGGAATGGGAGATACCTTGGGAAGATGAAAAAGGTTCTAGAAGCAAATGACGGTGACAGTTGCACAACAAAGTAAACAAACTTCACACCAATGAACTATATATTTAAAAATAGGGAATGGATGGGTGGCTTAGTGGTTGAGTGTCTGCCTTTGGCTCAGGGTGTGATACCAGGTCTGGGGATTGAGTCCCGTATCAGGCTCCTTATGACAAGTCTGCTTCTCCCTCTGTCTATGTCTCTGCCTCTCTCTGTGTCTCTCATGAATAAATAATAAAATCTTAAGATAAAAAAAAGAATAAAGAATAAAAAAATTAAAATGGTAAATTTTGTTATGCATATCTTATCACCAAAAAAACAAATGAACAAATATAAATTTTTAAAAAATTCTGAAATCTAATTAGTCTGCTTATCTTGTTGCTTAGTTCAAAAAACTATGGAGGTTTGCCTTGCTTGCATTGTTTAAAAAGACTCAATTATTCCTTTCTGAATCCTTCTGGGTATGAGCCAAACGCAAACAGGCTCTACATTTTTCTCTCATTTTATTTTGTTTATTTGTTGTTATTTGTTGTTTGTTTATTTTGTTTATTTTTTTAAAGATTTTATTTATTTGGGTTCCATGCAGGGAACCCAAAGTGGGACTCGATCTTGGGACCCTGGGATCAGGCCCCAAGCCAAAGGCAGATAGATGCTCAACCACTAAGCCACCAGGTATCCTTCTCCTTTTACTTTAAATCTTAGATCTACTGAATTGTCATGACAAAAGTCAGTGATGTTTGTCTCCTTCAGGGCAATGGTCCTTAGTCATCTAGGGGTTTATAGATGCTTCTGAAAAATCTAGTAAAAGTCACAGGCACAAAAAATAGGGGGAAAAAAATCATATGTCAAATCAGGCAGAAGGGTGGAAGTTTCAGCCCTCCTCCTTGGAAACATCCCACCCTACTCCTCTGGGCCTTGGGACTATCAGCACACCCAGGCTGAATCCATCTGTCCACCAGAATGCACTAGGACTAGACACAACACTTACCTCATGCTGGGAATGGCATGGTAACCCAATCGGAAGCGGAGTTTGCTGGACCCAGCAAAATCTGCAATCATCTTTTCCCCCACAGTGTGCATGTGTTTGAGGAGCTCAAGGTGTTCCCCAGTCACAGCCTTCAGACTGGAAACGGAAGCCCATGGTAAGACCAGCCAGTGGTAACGAGCCTTGGGGTATTTATCCTTAATCACCACCACCTCCTCATCTTTGTAAACCTGGCAGAGGGGCACAAGAGAAGGAAACAGATATCCACCACACATCTTCTGAATACCAGGTGCTATAATATTCACTAACTCACTTAATTCCCAATACAATCTTATGTAAAAGATTTCAGTATTCCAATTTTGTGAGATGGGAGCTGAGACCTGGTGAGTGTCTTTCACAGTCACATAGTTAACTAAGTGGGAAGTCTAGGATTCCAAACCAGGTCTAGTTGACTCCAGAGTCTGTGTTTGCAACCACCACACTACAAAGAATACACAGAAAATGCACAGTACAAAATAATTCCTAAGGATATGATGTAACATCCGTGCAAGCATTAGTTCAAATGCACCCTTCTCCATCCTAATCCAGTAGGCCATGTGACACAATCATGTATTCCAAGAGCCCTATCAGATCTGACCCCTTGTCACCCAGGATGTAATTTAAGAACCCAAAGAATCTTCCCAGACTGACACCAAACTATTAATCTCAAGGCAGCCCAGTTAACTACAGTCACAGTATATTACCTGACACTCCCTTGAAAGAAACTCCAGTAAGGTTAACACAATCTCCCTTAATAGCACCCAGTTCAGGAGGAACAGGAAGAGAGGATATTCATTTGAAGAACTTTAGCTTCTCCAAAGAATTCCAGTTGCTAACTTACTGACAATGGGGAAAGCCACTTGTTCTCACAAAACAGTCTAATAAAACAAACCTCATTCAGAAGAACTGATCTCCTTTGTTTTCATTTGCCGTTATGATCTCTGTGGAAAAGTCACTTAAAATATGAAGTTTATTTCAATGCCAAAATTTTATTCTGACCTGCATTTTGGGATCCTGCATAGAAATTTTCAAGCCTTGACTCCAGTGGCCCAATGATTCCTGAAACAAAAAGGGGCAAAGTAAATTGTAAATATCAATAGCTGTATTTGGCATTAGTTAATATTGTACATCAGCAAAGCCCAACCAAACTTAGGATTAAGATTAGTTTTTAAAGTGTATGTTCTCATTCATTTGGGGAATATAAATAATAGTGAAAGGGAATATAAGGGAAGGGAGAAGAAATGTGTGGGAAATATCAGAAAGGGAGACAGAACATAAAGACTCCTAACTCTGGGAAACGAACTAGGGGTGGTGGAAGGGGAGGAGGGCGGGGGGTGGGAGTGAGTGGGTGACGGGCACTGAGGGGGACACTTGACGGGATGAGCACTGGGTGTTATTCTGTATGTTGGTAAACTGAACACCAATAAAAAATTATTTTATTAAAAAAAAAAAGATTAGTTTTTAAGAACCAAGCTATATCTCCTTTACTCAGTCGTTTGCCTTTATAATTAATCTAGGCTGGCTTTACTTTCTTCCTATACAGGATTCAGAGCTGTGTGTCTAGGGGAAGGCTGGAAATGCCAGCGTGAACTGCATTTACTTCGTGCTTTCCCACTCCATCTACAGCCTAACTACATTTCCACTTTGACATCAGTACTCAAATCACATGTCTATGAACAGTGTTCCAATGCTAACCTTCTACAGATAAACATATGACTGACCTATTTTAGCAGCTGAATGTTAAGTATACCACCATTATCTCCCTACCTTCAAGTAGCTTACCTCAGGAATTCAAGAGAAAAGTACATGAAGGGACATTCACCCAAGTGATTAGTGACACAAACAAATGACTCTTTCATCATGGTTAATAATCCTCATCATGGTTAATAACCCTTTACACATATCTGGGCTTTATAGAGTACAAAACAATCAAGCAGTCCTTATATCTCATTTAATCGCCACATCATCTATCCAGCACACCACCCTCACCTTTTTGGTAGGTGCATCCTTCCCCTTTTTTAGAGGCACAGAGCATTGGCTAGAGTCACTCCCAGGTTCCAGTCCTGTGCTGGACTCAACTTCCTGGGCAGCATCCCTTTCTATAGAATCACTGTTGCCTGACCTCTTTCTCTTCCTGTGTGTTTCCAGGCCAGGGCTCTCTGCCTCTTCCTCAAATTCTACAATATATGGATAAAGTTCATTCACCATGTGGAGAACCTGGCCAGGCTGCAGCTTCGCCTCTTGGTCCTTCCCAATTATGACTGAGTCAATGCTGGTGGGATTGACCCCTACCTATAGAGTAATCAGAAAATAATTACAATGATAAGCAATAATTCCATTAGCAGCATAGCCACTGCTATGTTAACCATTTATAGCATGCTAGGCACCATGCTTAATGTTCACTCATATTACCCCATCACTTCCACACATGATAGAGCTTTTATTGGCTATAGAAGAAAATACTCTAAAATCAACAGCATAAGAAAATCATCAAGTATAAAATGGAAATCCAAATTACACACGTACCTGCTTTACCTTGACATATCCTTTGTTACATTCTGCTTTCAACTGTACTGAAAGAGATTTTAAAAAGTTAAATCTAAATGCCACAAAGAGCCAAGCACTTGCTCATATTCTACCTACAGGACAATGAAGCCTCACTTCAGGAGGCAACTTGACAGGGGTTTCCTCAAAGGCCTATGAGCAAAATCACCTGTTATGCAGGTGGCTGGGCTCAAAATCCTTCCATAAAATGTCCAAAAGAGGGACGCCTGAGTGGCTCAGCTGTTGAGCGTCTGCCTTTCGGCTCAGGGCGTGATCCCAGGGTCCTGGGATCGAATCCCACATCGGGCTCCAATCAAGAGCTAGATGCCATCGTCTTATAAAAATAACCCCTTCTGTGTAAGGTATTATGTAAAAGAGGAAACTATCCCATCACTTCTCAGACATGGTTTTAGGCTGGAGACCCCAGAATTCAACTGTCTCACTGCTCAATGAGGAATCTCCCTGGGCAAAGCAGGGTTCAGGATTCATGCCCACCACTCTGTATGTAACAGGATGGAACTTGCCTATTCCCAACATTAACTACTTCCAGAGGGTAGAATCAGGGGTGAATGAGACCCTGATATTAGCTAAAAGAGCTCAGTTCCTGAGTTTTGTTTATGGCAGACAGAAAGTTTCTACCAATAGCATCCGGGAAATGTGCATCTTTGGTTATCATTATCCTGAGGAACAAAACACAGTAATCTGCACATTGCTATGACCAATTACCTTGCTGTCGAGAACACTTCTTGTCAATGATCTTGGTCTCTGGGCCACGCCCGACCATGACTGCTTCCAAATGTGGAAGTTTGATTCGTTGGTGCTGGTTATCCTGTCTCACCAACCAGCACATCCGCATCATTACTCTGGGAGAAAAATCAAAAGAGAATCACTGGAAAGCTTAGCACAAGTCTTCCAGGGCCACACCCCAGCACCACCACACATGCCATCTACCACCTGTTCACCTTGTGGCCAAGATGACTTCACTTAGGTCTCAATTTTCTCACCTGTAAAACATGATGATGACAGGACTCATGAGGCTGTTGTGAGAATTAAATAAGATAATGTATGTATTTACCTCTGTGCCTAAATCATGCTAAGCAATCAAATACTTATGCTTATTGATATAATCTATGTGCTGGCCATTAGCCTACATGCCAAGGATAAAAGAATAATTAAACATTGTCCCTATCCTTGAGGGGCCTAGAGTATATTGGGGCAAATAGACTCATATATCAATTATTACAATATAATGTGATAAGCACCATAAAAAGGGATTAACCAGATACGGCAAAGCCCAGGGAAAGGAATGACTGACTCTTGTAAGGAATATCAAAAACAGCTTAATGAGGAAGGGATATTTATGCTGAGTTTTTTAAAGCATGAGAAGTTTGCCTGGCAGAGAATTAAGGACATAAGAATAGAGGATATTCTTCAGTCCATAGGCATCTTTAAGTGTATTAGAAGGTTTCCCTCCTTAATCATGATAACATACCAATATTAGAACAATATAGTTTACTGCTCCCTACCAGAAGAATGTCATTATAAATATACAACCCTCCAGTGTCTAACGTGTGAATGTGGTACCTCTGTCCAATACACAACCTGCACACAGTGAAGGAACTGGTTTTCTTTCAAAAACAACCTTTAGGGGCACCTGAGTGGCTCAGTCGGTTAAGCTTCAACTCTTGATTTCAGCTCAGGTCATGATCTTGGGGCTGTGAGATGGAGCTCTGCATTGGGTTCTTGAGATGCTCTCCCTCTACCCCTCCTCACTCACCCACCCTGCTCACCACTTCCTCCACGTGCTCACTCTCTCCAAAATAAATAAGTAAATTTTTAAAAAGAGAAAGCAAAGAAAACAACCTTTATGGCCACACAGAGTATCAGTAGAAGGAAAAGAGACAAGAAATTTGGGAGAGAGATAAGACCCGAAACAAAGGCAGGGCAAAGGGAATGGAAAGAAAAGATTCAGAAGAAACTGTGAAGACAGACTTAATTGCTGACTATATCTGGGAAATGACAAAGGAGTCAAGGGGGACATATATCAAGACTTCTAATTTGGTAATAGCCATTAACCGAAATGAGAAACACACATGATGACATAATTTGAAGTTAAATAGCAGATGAAGGGATGATTTCTGATTGAAACACAGATTAAGTTGCTTGTGGAAGATCCACAGGTCAAGGTAGATATTATGGGTAGAAAACTCAGGGAGAGTAATGGACTGAATGTGTATATTTGAGGCATCAACATGGAGAGAAGGTGAGGCAAAGAGAGAGCATGAGATTACCCAGAGAGGTAGAGCAGGGAATTATAGGCAGGGACATACAGTCTTTGGGATGCCTCCCTCAACTCCAAAAGCCTATATTGCTCAAGCCTCTAATGCTCTGAGAAATGTGCCCTGCAGGCAAGGTAGCACTTATCAGGCCTTCTGCACAAGCTTTATGTCCAAAGGGAAGAGAAAAGGAACAAGATTTTTAAAAACCAGAGTTTCATTACCATCTGCAAAGAAAGGAAAATGATGGGATGCCTGGGTGGCTCAGTCATTTAAGCATCTGCCTTCCATTCAGGTCGTGATCCCAGGGTCCTGGGATCAAGCCCCTGTAGGGCTCCCTGCTCAGCAGGGAGCCTGCTTCTGCCCCTCCCCCTTGCTTGTGCTATCTCTCTCTCTCTCAAATAAATTAATTTAATTTTAAAAAAAGAAAGGATAAAAAAATAAAAAATAAATAAAAAAATTAAAAAAGAAAGGATAACGCAAAGCAGAGTGAGCAAATAAATGCATGCTGAGGAGACGCAAAGTCACAGAAATTCAATCAGTCAGGAAAGGCTTTGGAAACCAACCAACTGAAAAGGCCAAGAGGACTGATAAGGAAAAAAATAAGTGGGAGGGGATACTCCATTCTTATATTTTTTTAAGATTTTATTTATTTATTCATGAAAGACACAGAGAGAGGCAGAGACACAGGCAGAGAGAAAAGCAGGCTCCCTGCAGAGAGCCGGATGGGGACTCAACCCCAGGACTCCAGGATCACACCCTGGGCCAAAGACAGGCACTCACTCAAAGGCTGAGCCACCAAGGCGTCTCATATTCCATTTTTTAAAGCACAAGTGACAAGGGTATTCCAGTTGGTTCAGTCAGAAGAGCATGCAACTCTTGACCTTCGGGTCATGAGTTCGAGCCCCACACTGAGAGTGGAGAATGCTTAAATAAACTTTAAAAAAAAAAAAAGGGGGGATCCCTGGGTGGCACAGCGGTTTGGCGCCTGCCTTTGGCCCAGGGCACGATCCTGGAGACCCGGGATCGAATCCCACATCGGGCTCCCGGTGCATGGAGCCTGCTTCTCCCTCTGCCTATGTCTCTGCCTCTCTCTCTCTCTCTCTCTCTCTCTCTCTCTGTGACTATCATAAATAAAAAAAAATAATAAAAATTAAAATTAAAAAAAAAGAAATGCTTGTAATTCAAAATTTAAAAAAAAAAAGGCACAAGTGACAACAGATTTCAGCAATAAGCCATGGGTGAGGGGTGGAAGGCAGACCTTGCTGGATGACCAAGAGGATCTGCCCCAGGGAATCACCAAAAAATACCAGAGGTTTTGGAACACTAGGCTGAAAAGTTTAGACTTCACATCAACAAGAGACAACTGCCAAGTTATTGAGCTGCATAGAGAAGTGAGGAGCTCTGTGTAGGCAGGCTGGAGCAGAGAGGTCTAGAGATTAGTCACAAGGTTGTCAATACAATGTGGGCCAGCGTGAGGTCCAAAAGTTCAGCAGGTCTTTGTGAAGGAGTGGATGCAACAGCATGAAAGGGAGCTGTAAATCTAAAATCCTAAACAGGGCAGCCCAGGTGGCTCAGCAGTTTAGCGCCTGCCTTTGGCCCAGGGTGTAATCCTGGAGTTCTGGGATCAAGTCCCAATTCAGGCTCCCTGCATGGGGCCTGCTTCTCCCTCTGCCTGTGTCTCTGCCTCTCTCTCTCTGTGTGTCTCTCATGAATGAATGAATGAATGAATGAATGAATGAATGAATAAATAAATAAATAAATAAAAATAAAATCCTAAACCTACAGCCTCAGATGATGATGGTGCTACAGTCAAGTCCCACTTTTAAATGCTGCTTTCAGAGGAGCATCTGTTTGCACTTGCTAGAAACTGATGAATGTGCAGGTAATGGACTGAGAAGTATGTCTTCATCAGGCTTTGAGAAGTAAGTCATGTAGTGACTGACTACTCATAGTAATAAAAGAAATCTGGAGAGAGCACAGTTTGAGAGCAGGGACAGCAAGGGATCTGATGGGGAGATGAGAGCATGGCTGGCTGTTGCAGGATAATAGGAACTATCCCTCCTGCCATTTACATATTCATTCCTACCAAAGTTCTGAAGTTATGATGTTCCTATTTACTACTTCTTGAGAAACTAAAGCAGCGACTGCACAATGCTTATGTAACTAACTGTAAGCAACATTTTAACCCATTTTAGCCTCCGGTTCCAATTTCTATGAATGAAGCATTTTAGAATATGGGGAATACATAATGATGGGTGCCCCTGAATCTTTACTATAGTCCACATCTGATAGAACTCCATAAACTGCAAGTTCTTTGACAGAAGTCAAGCCCATTTTTTGCTTATCCCCAGTAATTAATACTTGGCATACAACAATACAATACGTATTTGCAAGTGAATCACCAGATGATAATCCTATCCAGGTTCTCTTCCCTTCCTTCTCTCCCCTGCTCTGGCTCCTTTTCTTATGTGGTCCTTTGCTCCTCTCTTTGGGCAATCCCATCCTCATAACTATGTGGATAAATCCATCTATTGTGGATAAATAAATTTCCAACTCTCTACTTTTCATCTCAGAGTTGTAGGGATTTGTCAGGAAAAAATTCTGGTTATATCTTAAGGAACCAAAGTAATCTGACAGACCACACAAGCCCAGCAATCTGGTAACATGGAATAGTGCCATCCAGAAGAATTTTTTGAAATGATGGAAGTGTTGTAAACCTTCATTGTCTAATATAGCCACCATGTGACAATCAAGCATCTGAAATGTAGCTAGTGCAACAGAGGAACTAAATTTCTCAGATTTTAACTTACATTTAAATAGCTACATGTGGCGGATGGCTACCATGATATCCAACCCAGCCCTGATCAGTCCCTAATTCCCCAGGCTTGAGGTTAAGACCCTCATATTCTAATCCCACAAAGGTTACTTATGTCATCTCCTATTTCCTTTCATAGAAATAGCCCCATCCTTCCCTTTCCCCAGGCTCATGTTTATTCTTACACAGGTATGTTGTACTGAGTCATGTCTCCCAAGTAAGTCATTCTCAATACGATCTCCTGGCATTGGATTATACCCTCTCTTCCTTCCTAGAATCCTAAATCCTTCTCAGTTTTCAAGTCCCACCTCCTCTAGGGACGTCTTCACTAAACTATCTTCTCTTCTCTACATTATGCTATTGGGTGTGATCAATTTATCTTCACAATTCCCTGAAATTGGGACAGTGGTTAAGCGCCTCCCTTCGGCTCAGGGCGTGATCCCAGAGTCCCGGGATCAAGTCCCACATCGGGCTCCCTGCATGAAGCATGCTTCTTCCGCTGCCTGTCTCTTTTTCTGTGTGTCTCTCATAAATAAATAAATAAACAAATAAATAAATAAATAGTAAATAAATAAATAAATAAATAAATAAATAAATAAATAAATAAATAAATAAAATCTTTTTAAAAATTCCCTGAAAATTAAATGTGGATATAAGTCCACTCTCCAAATAAAATTACAGTTTCCTTGTAAACAGCCTGCATCACTGCCCATCCACACAGAAAACTCAAGTCTCTAGATCATTAAACTGGGCTAGGCCTGGTGTTATACTTCTGAATCCTCTGGTGTTCAGCATGCCTTTACCAAGTGCATACCATCTGCTAGGTACTTGTTAAATGTCTTACTTGTATCATCTCATTTAATTTTCCCAGTAACTCCCATTCTAAGGAAAAGAAAATTTAAGGCTTAAGAAAAAATAGGTAACATGTACAAGCCACATAACCAATGTGTGCCAGAGAGAGGATCTGAATCAATTCTAAAGAACAGAGTTGTAATCACTATACTATACACCTTTTGTCTTCACTCTTTTGATCATTCATTCAAAATTACTACATGCCAGAGCGCCTGGGTGATACACTCAGTTAAGAATCTGATTCCTAGGGATCCCTGGGTGGCGCAGAGGTTGGGCGCCTGCCTTTGGCCCAGGGCGCGATCCTGGAGACCCGGGATCGAGTCCCACGTCGGGCTCCCGGTGCATGGAGCCTGCTTCTCCTTCTGCCTGTGTCTCTGCCTCTCTCTCTGTGTGACTATCATAAATAAATAAAAATTAAAAAAAAAATAAAAAAATAAAAAATTTAAAAAAAGCATCTGATTCCTGATTTTGGCTCATATTGTGATCTCAGGGTCATGAGATCGAGCCCTCCATCAGGTTCCATGCTCAGCACAGGGTCTGCTTGAGATGCTCTCTCCCTCTGCCTCCACCTCATACTCTCTAAAATCATAAATAAATCTTTAAAAAAAATTACTACATGCCTACTATGGCTTGTGCTATTCTAGTACCAAGAATAAAGAAAATATATCTCATTCATATAATACAGGTGTAATGTATCATTCCTACCTTCAAAAGGCTCAGTCTTGTGGGGGAGAGAAACACAAAAACACTTATAACCAATGTAGTATGTATAATGATTGGTCTGTGCAGAGTATCATGGGAGCACAAGGCTGGAGTACCCAACTCAGACTTGGAGAAAGGAGATGTCAAGGAAGATTTCCTATAGGAGGCAGACCTAAAATGAGTCCTATATATAAAGTAGGTTAACTAGGTGAAAGAGTCATTCCAATTAGGTGAGAAGGAAGTAGATAAAGGAAACGACAATTCAAGTCAAGGGGAATATACAAAGAAATCGTTTAAACAAAGCAATAAACAAAGAAATTACAGAGTACACAGGAAGAAGCAGTACGGTGTTGCTGCAACCTAAAACATGAGACTAAAAAGAGGATGGAGACACAAGCAGGTCTAGAATAAGCAGAGCCCTGGATGACTGGCTGAGAAGCTCAAACTTGAGAAGTTCCACTGGATTTTGCAATTTAGTAAACAATAAATATTTGCTTAAAAAAAAATATCAAATGAATAAGCAGACATTTAAATGTTACTAAGCAGGACTTTGACACAGATTTGTGTCAAAGATCATTTGGGGGAGGAGGGTAGGTGTTACTTCTATTACCTCATTTGAGAAGATATGTGGGGAAGGGGACACGAGGCGAGGAAATCATTCAGAAGGCAATCATATTTCAGGTGAAAAATGATGGTGCCTAAAGTAGTACAACAGTAGGGATAAAGAAAAGAACACAGATTTGAGAAATATTTAGGGGGTAATAAAATCATCAGAACTTAGTGATCTATGTGACAAGATCAAGTACAGGAAAGACACGGAGTTCTGCTTCAGATCTGTGAATTTGAACTGTCTATGGGACTTGTACAAGGCAGAGCTGTCTAGCAGAGTGGTCAGAGGTGACGGTGAAAGTCAGAAAAAGGGTCTAACCTAACAACTTTGATTTGGGAGCATGTAGAAGGGAATTAAAACCAAGCTAGTTGATGTGTTCACTCAGGCGGTGTATACAGAAAGAAAAGAGCAGTCGGTCAAAGTCACAAGCCTTGGAAACAGCCAACACTTTAGGGGAGGAAAAAAAAAAAAAAAACTATCCACAGGAGAAATGGCTGGTGAGAGGTACATGGAGAAACAGCTAGAATGTAAGTTCCTTGCAGAAAAGCATCTATCTTCTTCATCTCTGTATCATAATAAATGTTTGTTAAATCAGTTGTATTGTCCTAAAAAGCAAAGCAGCAGGAAGTAAAGAGTTTCAAAAGCAGCAAAGGGATCCAAAAGTGACTGGAAAATGTCTCTTTGGTTTGATAATTACTGTGACTTTAAGGTTAAAATTTCAGGGGAATATAGGTCTGAAAGCTAGACAGCAGAAAGGAAGGAAAGGTGAGGAAATGGAGACAGAATTTAGAATACTCTTTAAAATAGTATAAGATAGATGGATAAGAAGGGGAATAGGATTACCGGATGACAGCTAAAGGAAGGTGGATCACTAAGAAGTCTTCCTTTCAGGGCACCTGGGTGGCTCGGTGTTTGAGAGCATCTGCCTTCGGCTCAGGGCCTGATCCAGGGTCCTAGGATCAATTCCCACATCTGGCTCCTCGCAGGGAGTCTGCTTCTCCCTCTGCCTCTCTCTTGTGTGTCTTTCATCAATAAATAAATAAAATCTTTAAAAAAAAAAAGTCATCTTCCTTTCTTTCTAGTTTGGGGAGTTGAGAGACAGGTGACTAGGGATCTGAGAAGTGTGACAGTGTTTATACATGACAAGGCCATAGACAGGGCAGAAAAGATGTTTTCTCCATAAAATAGTAGGTAAGAGGGAGGGGTTTGAGAGCTTAATGAACAGTTGAAAAAAATCACTGTAACATAGTGGATAACATCCAGGCTTCTTAAGTGCAACTGCTTGAGTTCAAATTGTGGCTCCATTACCTATCCACCACTGTGTGACTTGATGCCAGTTATTTAACCTACGCCTTTATTTCTTTAGCTGTAAAACAACATTAAGAATTGCTCTCTAAGGGCACCTGGGTGGCTCAGCGGTTGAGGGGCTGCCTTCAGCTCAGGTTGTGATCCCAGGGTCCTGGGATGGGAGTCCCATATCGGGCTTCCCACAGGCAACCTGCTTCTCCCTCAGCCTATGTCTCTGCCTCTCTGTGTCTCTCATGAATAAATACATAAATAATCTTATTTTAAAAACTGCTCTACAACACATGGTTGTCACAAGGACTCAATGAGGAAGTACGCACTTTCAGCGTCTAGCAAAAAGAGTTTGACACTATTATCGCTGGTTAACACTGAAGACAAGAGCTAAGGACATGTAATAAGATCATCCCACAGCACTGACTGTGCAACTAAGGTGGAAGGGCACAAATCTGTATTGTCTCCTCACGTGTCCAGTACTGCCTCAAGTATTCTAATGATTCCCGATATAAGTTAGATTCCCTAAAGGCTCTAAACCTGGACATTAATTCCATATGGAAATTATACCTCTGCTCTACTGAACCAACACCGGCTGCGTGAGGAAAAGCTTGCTTCTTCTGGCCCTCCCATTAGGCCTGTTGAGGAGCATGTGAACGCCCCTCAAGTTCCTTTCAGGGAGCGTTTCTGGAGGAAACAATGTCCTTCCTGACAACCTGAGCCGCCTGCTTGGGCTGAACAGTGCCCATTCTCTAATCTTTTGTCTGTTTGTGTTGTGACCAAGCTAGGAGAGGGGGCCGGGTGAACGAACGTGAGGTGGCGCGGCGACCAACCTGAGGGCCTCCGAAAAACGGCCCAAGGGAGCTTGAGCAAAGCGAGACGCCTACAGCCCGAGGATGGAGCAAAGCCTGACGGGAAAGAAGCCATTAAAAACGTTACTCAAGGAACATCATTCAAGGGTAGTAATGGCCCCGGCCCAGGGCCCACAACCACCGCTTTCCACCCGGCCAGCAGAGGAGGTAGGCCGACACCTTACCTCGAGACTGTGGAGACAGACAAGCCAAGACTCTTCAGAGCTGCACCACTTCCGGCGCTGTGGGATGACGACACGCGCTGGAGCACAACGAGTGACGTCACCAGCGCCCGCCCAAAGATTGGTTGAAAGGGTCTCGCCCAATGCCCGGATGCGGAAGCGTCCGCCCCTATTGGTCCCTGCGGAGCCGAGGACCTAGTGCGGTTTCTGGCAATTTTCCCGTTGGGGATGAACACAGCTTCTCTCCCTCTGCAAGCCTCTTCCCTAGCACCACCTCTCGGTCTCGGAGCCTGGAGAGACTTCCGGCAGCTATCCCCTCTGTGGCCGTTTCTAGGCAACTGTGCAGTGCCGGGATTCTCCCTTTGTTAGAAGCAGCTCACTACCTTTATAAGGCCATCTTTTCCGCTGCAGACAGAACCTGCTGTGGCATTGTTTTCCTGCCTTCTTTAAAAACTGCAACCGACTCTCTCTTTTCCCGGGGAGAAGGGGTTGGAGGGGCTAGCGGTAGGGAAACCTGATAAGATTGTTTTAATGCTGTCTCACTAAATGAACTGGCTGACAGGCGGTTAGGGAGGAGAAAAGCAGCGGGATGCCATGCGGGATTGAGATGGGTTTACCGATTTTTGTAGCAATTATAGGATGTTCCCGCAGAGTCGCGTATTGCAATTATGCGAAGGCATTTTGGCAGTTGGAAAAATTCCCATCTTGTGGGTGAAGGCATAGTTTGTTAATTTTTCCCAAACTAAATAAAAACTGAGCTTCTTAAGGAGTCACATTTCTTGATCAAGATGGAATATTGTTTCCTTCGATAGAAAAGCAGGGTCAACGGTATGATAGAGATACCAGAGCTAGCAAAATAGGGTGGGAGAAGCACAGAAAAGAGACTTCCTCTTTTTAGCAGAAAAGATGAGGTTTATATTAGGGTCTTACCAGGAAGTAGGGGAGCACAGGAAGCATCTTAGCGGCCACACAGCCCTCATGGTAGTGGAATGTGATTCACACTGCTGGAGGTAAAACCAGGGTAGCTGTGGTCACCTGACAGTTCCCTCAGAATTAAACTTCTCTTAACCTCTGCTTCTACCTGCCCTGCCTTAGCGTGTCTTGCATTCAAAATTGGATTATTTACTATATATTGTGCAAAATTGGGCAGTTTCCATGCCCAACCTATTAGGACTAGCCCTTTGCCTATAGCATATTACTGGCCACAGAAGCAGGGTCACATGGCACAAATGGCACAAGGGGGGTGACAAACAAGACTTTCACAGACCCTAAAAAGACATATCACAGATACACAGAAATTAATAAAGAGTTGTTTGTGGTATTATCTTATGTTGTAGCCCTTAAAGTATAATCCTTGAATAGTAGCAGTAGCCTCAAAACACCTAGAGACTTGTTAGAAATGCAAATTCTCAGGCCTCACCCCAGGCTTCCTGATTCAGAAACTGGGAGTGTAGCCCAGCAATCTGATTTAACAAACCCACCAGGTTATCCTGATGCATGATCAAGTTAGAGATTCAAGTTAAGAAGGCAAAGATTTCAAACTGTACAGCATGATAAATGTGTTTTGTTGGCCTGATCAAGGCTTTTGAGGGCCTTTTTTTCCTTTTTCAAATTCAAAAAAAAATTTTAATTGTGGCAAAATACACATAAAAGTTAACATCTAAGCCATTTTTAAGTATACAGCTGAATAGTGTTAAGTATATTCACAGTGTACTGAATCCATCTCCAGAACTTTTTAATCTTGCAAAACTGAAACTATGCATTAAACAACTTCCATTTCCCCCTCCTCTAGCCTTGATAACCACTAATTTACTTTCAGTTTCCATGAATTTGACCATTCTAGATACTGCACATAAGTGAAATGAACCATGCAGTAGTTGCCTTTCTGTGACTGGCTTATTTCACTTAGCATAATGTCTTCCAGTTTCATTACTTGTAATGGGTCAAAACTTCCATTTTAAGGCTAAATGACACTCTACTGCATATATACACCACACTTTGTTTACAACTGATTTGTCCGTCAAGTCAATGGATGTTCGGATTGCTCCCATCTTATGGCTATTATGAATAATATGAATATAATGAATAATCATGCTATGAACATGATTGTACAAATATCTCTTCAAGATCCTGCCTTCAATTCTTTTGGATATATACCCAAAAGTGGGATTGGTGGGTCATACAATTCTATTTTTTGTTTTTTTTTGTTTGTTTTTTTTAAGATTTTATGGATTTATTCATGAGAGACACACACAGAGAGAGAGAGAGAGAGAGAGAGAGAGAGAGAGAGAGAGACAAAGGCAGAGAGAGGAGAAGCAGGCTCCATGCAGGAGCTGGATGCCAAACTCGATCCCGGAACTCCAGGATCAACGTCCTGAGCCGAAGGCAGACGCTCAACCTCTGAGCCACGCAGGCGTCCCTAATTCTATTTTTGATATTTGAGGAACCACCTAGTGTTTTCCATAGAAGCTGCACCATTTTGCTTTGAACACAAGGGTTGCAATTTCTCCACATCTTTTTTTTTTTTAAGATTTTATTTATTTATTTGAGAAAGAGATCACAAGCAGGGAGGAAGAGCAGAAAAAGAAGCAGACTCCCCACTGAGCAGGGAGAACAATGTAGGACTTGATCCCAGACACCCGGGATCATGACCTGAGCCAAAAGCAGAGGCCCAACCAACTGAGCCACCAGGTGCCCCCAATTTCTCCACATCTTTGGTAACACTTGTTATTTTCTAGTTTGGCTTTTTTTTTTTTTTATAGCAGTCATCCTAGTGGGTGTGAGGTAATAATCTCATTGTGGCCTTGATTTGCATTTCTCTAATGATTAGTAATGTTGAACACCTTTTCATATGTTTGTTGGCCATTCATATATCTTCTTTGGAGAAATGTCTATTCAAGTCCTTTGCCCATTTTTTTATTCTTTTTGGTCCCTCGTTTTTAAATCAAGTTATTTTGTTATTGTTGCACTGTATAAGTTCTTTTTATATTCTAGATACTAATCCATTGTCACATATATGATTTGCAAATATTTTTCCCATTTCATAGATTGCCTTTTCACTCCATTGATTGTGACCTTTGATGCACAGAAATTTTTAATTTTGATGTTGTTCAATTTATCTATACTTTTGCTGCCTGTGCTTTTGGCATCATATCTAAAAAAAATCATTGGAAGTTTTTCCCTTGTTTTTTTCACTTTTAGATCTTATATTTGGATCTTTGACCCATTTGGTCATTTTTTATATGGTGTAAGGTAAACATATATCCAACTTCATCCTTTTTGCCTGTGGATATTCTGTTTTCCTAACACCATCTGTTGAAAACATTGTCTTTTCCCTACTGCACAGTCCTGAAATCTTTGTTAAAAATCATTTTGACCAGGGATCCCTGGGTGGCGCAGCGGTTTGGCGCCTGCCTTTGGCCCAGGGCGCGATCCTGGAGACCCGGGATCGAATCCCACGTCGGGCTCCCGGTGCATGGAGCCTGTTTCTCCCTCTGCCTGTGTCTCTGCCTCTCTCTCTCTCTCTGTATGACTATCATAAAAAAAATAAAAAAAAATCATTTTGACCATATATGTAAGGGTTTATTTCTGGCTTCTCTGTTCAATTCCATTACTCTATATGTCTGTCTTTATACCAGTACTACCTGCTTTGATTACTGTGGCTTTGTAATAACTTCTGAAATCAGGAGTTATGAGACTTTCAACTTTGCTCTTCATCAAGATTGTTCTGGCTATTCTTCTCAGGGGGTTTTAATTATATTTTAATTCCAACAGTTATAAATTAGAAGATCTCACGTGAAAATCAGGATTCTTAGTCTCTTGAAAAAAAATCAATAAATCCAGCAAATTCTGGCAACAAATAGCCAAAATTGTGAGTGACTATCATGTGCTCTCCCATTTGCCACTGTCTCCCTCCAACTCATCTATAACTTCTCTGGTCCCTGAAGGCCCTTCTTTCTTTGAGACTTTGAGAATCCTAGTCTAAGGGAACAGCAATTGGAACCAAAAGACCAACCTGGGGAGATTACAGTGTCCAGAGATTTGCTCAGAAATAAAAGTACAAACTCCTGGGAAGAGGGAAACTTCATTTTGTTTTTAGTTTTGGGGGGATTTGTTTTTGTTTTGTTTTGTTTTGGTGGTGGGGGGATAGGTTGGAAAGGAAAGGGGAGAGGTGTCAGAAAAGACCTGTCTGAGGAAAGGGAAATAAACCAAGCCCAGAAGGTTCAAAAGGACACAGACAAGGGAAGACAGGAGAAGAATATTCCAGATCTATGATCTACACTGAAAAAAGAGCAATATACAAAAGCCCTACAGCAAGCCTTAAGCATGTTCTTTCAGGTATGCTAGAACTCCAGTGGAGCTGAAGAGTAGACAGTGAAAGGAAATGATGAGATCTGAGCAAGGGTCAGATAGTAAACCATTTATGAACTATGTGGGCTTGTCCTATATTCAATGAAAAAGCTCTGAAGAGTTAGCCAGGGGAATAATATTATTTGATTTTTGTTTCATTGGATGGTATGGCTGCTGTGAGGAAGAATGGATGGGGTGGGAGGTGGGGTGCGTGGGGCAAGAACAGAAAAGGTGAGAGCAGTTAGGAGTATACTGATATAGTGCAAAGGATGTCAGCAGCCCAGACAAGAGGAAAAAGACAGACTGATTAAAGAGATGTTTTGGAGGCAGCATCAACTGGACAAGACATATTCTTCTCTGTAGGCAGACCCAGGTGAGATGCCAAATAATAAAGATCACTTAATGGGGATAGAAACAAAACCTAGTGAGCTATAAATTTAGTTGCATGTTTCATATACCCAAAATCTTCTCACTGCAGGCACCCACAACTCTATCTGCAGGCTTCCTCTGGACCCAGGAGCCTTTCCTGAGTGCACAGAGGCCAGAAGTGAGGGGATCTATACCCCTGGGATCATTTGTGAAATGATGTAAAGAAGTGGATGGAGGGATCCCTGGGTGGCTCAGCGGTTTAGCGCCTGCCTTTGGCCCAGGGCGCAATCCTGGAGTCCCGGTATCGAGCCCCACATCAAGCTCCTGGCATGGAGCCTGCTTCTCCCTCCTCCTGTGTCTCTGCCTCTCTCTCTCTCTCTCTCTCTCTCTCTCTCTCTCTCTCTCATAAATAAATAAATAAATCTTAAAAAAAAAGAAGAAGAAGAAGAAGTGGATGGATTAAAAAAAAAGTGGATGGGTAAATTTGTTTCCTCATCTTAGGGTGAAACAATGTTAAAGTATGTGCAACGCTGTCTCCCAGAGGCTCTCTAGCAACACTAAGCCCCAGTTGCCCTGAGTGGTAGCCTGCACATTGGCTTCCTTCCCATCCCAGCCTCTCTTCTCCACTCCCCTACTGGGGCCTCTTGGGATCATCTCCTAAATGACATGCTAAAATCCTTGCCTAGTGTCTGTTTCTGGGGGAATCCAGCCTAACAAACTCTTCCTATTTTCTACTGATATCATTTTATTTCTCTTTTTAGATAAGGTAATAATTCCTACTCCTCCCCAAACTTTTAATATTACAGTACAAAGATTAAATCATATTCACAAAACACTGAGGCAAAATTACAAGGAACTTGGTGAAAAAAATCATGACCTTTCTTTATAATTAACTATGATAAGAAAAATTAAAAACAGTATTTGGAAAAATAGTATTGATTTTGGCTAAATATTTAAAGTAAATACTTTAAAATTTTTCATAAGAAACTTGAGTATGTTTCTATAAATATTACCTTTTTATTCTTTTTCTTAAGACTTTATTTATTTGAGAGCATGTCTGTGTGAGTAGGGGGAGGGGCAGAGGGAGAGGGAAAGAAAATCTCATACAGACTCCACACTGAATATAGAGCAGGACTTGGGGCTCAATCCCACAACCCTGAGGTCATAACCTGAGATGAAATCAAGAGTTGGACGCTTAACCAAATGAGCCACCCAGGTGCCCCTGTGAATGTTACCTTTTTGACATTGGGTTTCATGATGAAACAAAATATGTTTTCTGATTAAA